AAAAATACACTTTTGTCAGAAATATGTCTATTTTAAGGTCTTATCATTGGGAAATTGTAATTTTTCGGGTAAAACATTTGCATATACATTTCACAAGTTTTGTAAATAGCAAATTTCCACTTTCATTAAAAAAGTCCCATTTTCCCCTTATTGGACATTGTAAAATGTGATTAAATTTCAAAATATCCATTAAAAGAGTTTTGAAGTAATTTTAGACACATTAGTTCATTGAAACATATTAATTTCCAACCACCAAAGCTCTGGAAAGTGCATTTTTTATGTATCCCCCGAACAAAAGTTCAATTTCATACATTCAGATGCCAAAATGCCGATTTATGACCAAAATAACAACGAAATGGATATTCAAGTGTTCGTGGACTCCCATTATTTTCACGAAAAAATAGCAGTTTTTTAAGAGCAAAACGACGTCAGAGGTGTATTTCACGTGTTTTCCGAACAAAAATGTCATTTTCAGTGAAAATAGAGCAAGTTGAAAAATTCACTTCAATCCGACCTATTTTTCGACTATGAAATGCCCTCAGATCGCATTGTGACCACTTTTAATCGATTGCTCGTCGAAAATTGAGCGGATATGGTCTTTCGGTAGCCTTTTCCAGCCAGTAGATGCGTATTTTTGGCAGCAATTTCATCGTAGAATGCGACTCTTCGTACAAATTCCGTTCATTGATGAATTGCCTATGCCAGAACTTCGAAATACGAATTTTCCCGGATATGTGGCATATGCCATTTTGTTGGTATTGTGGCCGGCTACAAACGCTCAGTTTTTGGTAAAACATTGTAGGGCTGATTTTTGAGAAATCGCGTTTGGTGTGAAATTTAAGGGGGTCGATTTTTCATAAGAATTTTTTCGACTTTTTTCTTTTATATCACATAAACATTGGCGTGTGTATATGGAACTTTTTGAAGGTCTTCTCAAATGATAACGAGCTGACTTTGCCCGATGGGTGTCTGAGTTGATCTAGTGTGCGAAATAAATACTTGAAAAAATCGTATACATGCAGGCTAGTGAAGCCATAGCCAGCTCTCCTGTAATGCAAATGTCAATCTGAGGACGGGTTTCGATGTGGCCCGACGCACGAATCAATACTTTCATAAAAAATCAAGATCAAACTGCCAATGCCCATAACTTTTTTTTTTTGGACCAATCAGGACACTTAGACCGGCGTTGGAAAGGTGGCAAGGAGGAGCTTCTCTTGGATAACTCAGACCACCCCCTGGGTACCCCCTTCGTAAGATATGGGTATAGATTTGAAAATATATCGAAATTTTCCAACCGCTATATTTTTGCCTAGACCACACTTTAGGCATGGGGGATATGGTTTTTCCGAATATTTGGGCCAAGACCGTTCCAACGGTACCTAACATGCCGGGGCCCAAATAGTGTCTTGAGAAAATAGCATATTTACTGTATATATACTCGTGACGCAAAAACTGGCATTTTTTGATATTTGGCTTGAAATGCACAGTCTATGGTGCGTCACTTGTCGGACTACCGTCCTCCGTGATATACTAAAAATGTAATGGACTTTTTAATTATCAACATCAATCTGAGTATCATTAGAAGTCTTTTTTCAATTTTGAAAAGACCATTCTTAGGCTAATTTTCGACGAGGAATTCGAAATTGTAATTATTTTTTACTGTAAAAATTTCAAACTGTGTGTCTGCTTTGTTCGTTCAGTTAAGTACAGTTCTAGAAACTGACTGTACTTTGATGGAATAGCTTTCGCTCAACTACACGTGTATATGTGTGAATCGTGATTGGCTGAAAAATGGTCACATGACCGGCCAACATCGTTCTAAAGAATTATAATTTGCCCTTGATGTGACACTCGTCTTCTAAAAGCGGTTGTGTAAAGTCATATCCCATCAAAGCAAGCAAGTAAGTAATAAAATCATTTATTTGAAAATAGAAGATAATTTAAAAATAACATGAATTCATTTTAATTTGAAAAAATAAAAAAATAAATGCAACAATTACCTATGGATTAACATTTCATTCCCAAGTTATCAAAGAAAATCGATTGTATTTTTACGTAACTCTTGAAAATTTCGTAAATTTAAGTCTTTTCAAATATTGATTTATAATGTTTGAGTAATATTTTCGCTGATTTTTTATAAGTTCTTCAATTTCTGGTATGTATAGTTTTTATGTTTATTTTTGCTTTAAAAGTAAAACGAGGAATGAGATGAAAATAGACGTGTTTGTAGATTTGAAACGTGTATGCATAATAGTTCAAGGAATTGAGGAAAACTGACGAATTTTAATTGAAAATTCAACGATAAAAACTAAAACTTATGAAAAGTCAGAATTAAAATGCAACGAAAAGATTTTATTGAAAACAAAAAATCTTTTTACACTATAGGACGAATTCTATATCGTGATTACACAAGAATAACCTTCAATGACCTTGTCGTAGTATGAACAGATATTTCAATATACAATGTTCGAGAAATACCAACTTGACATGAAATTGTTTGCATCATTTATGAAATTGTTTCTTTTTCCATTTCATAAATTTATAGGAAGGTAAAAAAATGTCGAAAATTGGAATCAACGGTTTTGGGCGTATCGGTCGTCTTGTGCTCCGTGCTGCTGTTGAGAAAGGAGCTCAAGTTGTTGCCGTGAATGACCCATTTATTGGAGTCGATTACATGGTGTATTTATTCAAGTATGATTCCACCCATGGTCGTTTCAAAGGAACTGTCAGTGCTGAAGGTGGTTTTTTGGTTGTCAATGGGCAAAAGATAACTGTTTTTTCGGAACGCGATCCAAAGGACATCAAATGGGCATCAGCTGGGGCTGAATACATCGTCGAATCGACTGGTGTATTTACAACTATTGAAAAGGCTAGCACTCACTTGGCTGGTGGTGCAAAGAAAGTAATCATAAGTGCTCCATCAGCTGACGCACCGATGTTTGTATGCGGAGTAAATTTGGATGCCTATGATCCAAAATATCAAGTTATTTCGAATGCTTCATGTACAACCAATTGCTTGGCTCCATTGGCTAAAGTAATTCATGACAATTTTGAGATTGTCGAAGGTTTGATGACAACGGTGCATGCTACAACCGCAACCCAAAAAACTGTTGATGGTCCATCTGGCAAATTGTGGCGCGACGGTCGCGGGGCTGCTCAGAATATAATTCCAGCCGCAACTGGCGCTGCTAAAGCCGTCGGGAAGGTTATTCCGTAAGTGTTTCCTTACTCAAGTTATTCTGTAACTGAAACACTTGTACATAATTCAACATGATTTGCATTGATGCTTAATATTTTTACAGGTCTTTGAACGGTAAATTGACTGGTATGGCTTTCCGTGTACCAACTGCAAATGTTTCTGTTGTTGATCTCACCTGCCGCCTTGGCAAACCAGCCAAGTACGATGAAATCAAGCAGAAAATCAAGGAGGCTGCCGAAGGCCCATTGAAAGGAATTCTCGATTACACCGAAGATGAAGTGGTTTCATCAGACTTCATTGGTTCTACTCATTCGTCAGTCTTTGACGCAAAGGCCGGAATCCAACTTTCAGACACCTTTGTCAAGCTCATTTCTTGGTACGACAATGAGTACGGTTATAGCAACCGTGTCATTGACCTCATCAAATACGTTCAAACCAAAGATTAAAAGTTTTGTTTTGAATTCAGTCATATAAGTCACATTGAATGTAACTAAATACTAAATTCACAATAAAATATTATATCCCAGAACAAAAATTTGTCCACGCACTACATGTAGAAATAATTTTGCAGTAATGTATCATTGAAATGCGTCTTTTTTAATAACACTGCACAACACACCGTGTCAACTATAGGAATTGAGATTTGGAATGGAAAACTTAGATCATCATAAAAACTCATTAAACGCGTAAAAAACATGTTTTTGAGACACTTTTCCCTTTTTTCTTTGTTTAATTCACTTTTTTGTTCGTGTGCCGTCGTTACCGTCGTTGGTGTGTGTTAACACTCAAAAAATAATTGAGTTAATCAAAATCTGGAAGTGCCAAAAGTTTTGTATTCGAAAAACTTAGTTTAAGTTCGAAGATGTGCCATTTTGGATTTGACCATGGGATACTTGAATGAAAAAAATTTATGGGAGGTACGCGTAAATCGACTACGATCGGATTCAAACTTTTTGAGGTTTGGTTTTTAGTCATCAATTTTTGTTGAAATTTACTTGGAAAAAATTGAGGAACAAAAACAAAACGGTGCGAATGCGATCAACGTCAACCTGTCAGAATCTTATTGTTTCTCCAAAAGATGAAACATAAGAAAGTTTGAAGCGAATCGGAATCGATTTACGGGTACCTCCCATACAGAATTGTCGAAATTTCGACTAAAACCTAAAACATCAAAAGTACGGTACGGAAAATTTATTTTTTTTCTTTTCTCCTTTCTCTTTGCTATCTATTGCTTGCTATCGCGGCTTTACGCTATTCAGCAGAAGTATGCGGCCGCAGTTAGAACAGCTGTTGACGTTCAATCGTTGACAGTTATTCTTGGGCAGTATTTTATTATACGTAAGTGATTGATGATACAAAAAATGATGCTATTTCAGTGTACTTTCAATGAATTAATATTTTTATTGGAGATATAATATTATTATAATATAACAATGTCATTCAGAATTACATCTCTTTCATAAAAAACAACAAACAAAAAAAGGTGCTTTGGCTCTCTTTTCTTGTACTTGATCGTCTCTTGGTGGATTTTTTTTCTCCAGAATTTTAGCATTTTCAAAGGTTTTTTGCGGACTCAACAAATGAAGCAAGAAATATTTGATTGACTTGATTTTTACACTTGATCTCTTCTCTCAATGCAAGTTTACGGGCAACTGGTGATTAACAGCTGTTCAATTTGGGACATTTTGATCATATTTAGCTTGAGTCCAAAATAGTTGTTCTCTTTTCGGGTCACATTCTGGCTTTATCTCAACGATATAAATATTTCTTCGACGGTTGGCGTGGATGCATTCAAGAAAAACAACACACAATCGTCAATTTATCAGAGTAGTATATGAAAATTATATAATGTACGGTAAGTAAAATGGAGGAAAAAACGGAGAAAAAACGCTAAAAACACTTGTTGAGAAATTTTCCTAACGAAAACTATTCAAATCGATGATTTTACCAATAGGGACATTAGTCATAAAGATGTATACGAGCCGGTAGTTGCGAAAAAGACGTAAGAGGCCTATTCAGATTATTGCTGTGTCAATAATTTCCTCTTTTCATTGTTGTCTACTTTGTTTGTCAAACTTTTCTTATTGTTTATCAGAAATTTTTTCTACCTTTTTTAACTAGTTAAACAAAAATTGATCGACTTTAAAATTAGTCATCCATTCTACTGATAAAGTATGCACCTTTCGGAATAATTTTCATCATCTAAATATTAAATATTTATTATAATCTTGATAGTGATATTGAATGAAATCTTTGCAAAAATTCGAAGAATGGACCTTTACTTAGCACAAGATAGCAATATAATTGAAACAGACGACATTCCCCGAGAGACGAGAGACCCTGTGTGGGTTCTTGGTCGTCGTTACAATGCCATTCAAGGTAGGGTATACTTGGTTTTTTGCATTATTATTTCCATTCTTTATACAATTTATCTATCTATGAAATAATAGAACTCGATCTCATCAGGAGAGATGTTGCAACTCGACTGTGGTGCACTTATCGGAAAGGCTTTGTTCCTCTCGGAAGGCCACAACTTACAAGTGACAAAGGTAAATATAGCAACGCTCGACGCTCGATAATCGAAATCGATTCAACTTGTCAAATCAGATATGGTTTTCATCGCATTTACATGAAATCACTTGAATAAATTATAAATAATAATTTTTCTCTTCGCAAAAAAGGTTGGGGATGCATGTTACGTTGCGGCCAAATGCTGCTAGGACAAGCGCTGCTGGATCTGCATTTGGGAAGGGATTGGTTTTGGACTCCTGAAACACGCGATCCAACATATTTGAAAATTGTGAATAGATTTGAGGTTGACAAAGAAATTTAATTATTTTAATGAAAGTAATAATGCTAAAATTGAATAAAATTTTTCTATCATTAGGACAGTAGAAAGAGTCCCTTTTCAATCCATCAAATAGCACTAATGGGTGACTCTGAAGATAAAAGAGTGGGTGAATGGTTTGGGCCGAACACGATAGCTCAAGTTCTCAAGTGTGTAAAAGATTCATTTTCTTTTTTAAAAAATATCCCCAGAGAATTGAATATCGATCCTTTCCCCAATAAGTTGAAGCAAAAAGACTCTCCAAAACTAATCCTATATGAGCAATAAAATCTTGATTAATTTATTTAAATCTTTTCCAATTTACAGGAAATTAGTCAAATATGACGATTGGTGTTCGATAAATATTTTTGTCGCTCTAGATAACTGCGTTGTGATCGAAGAGATAAGTAAGTATAACATTGCACAAGTTGAATTTATTACATGCATTTATTACAATAACGGTTTGATTGTAGGAAAATTATGCGAAAAAGACGATAATACATGGGTTCCGCTGTTGCTTATTATTCCGTTGAGGCTTGGATTGAGTGAGGTGAATCCGATTTACATTGATCGCCTGAAGAAAAGTTTCGAAATTCCAGGTACATGTGGCTTAATCGGTGGTCGACCAAATCAAGCTCACTACTTCATAGGCTATGTGGGTGATGAAGCACTGTATCTAGACCCGCATACAACTCAGAAGTGTGGCAGTGTTGGCGAAAAGATGTCACAGAATGAAATTGATATGGACTCGAGTTATCATCAGAAATTCGCAGCTCGCATTCATTTCGAAAGAATGGACCCGTCGCTGGCGATTTCTTTTCTTTGCCGTACTCGAACGGAATTTGACGAACTTTGTACGAGACTCAAACTTGATATTTGCGGTGGCAGTCAACCTTTGTTCGAAATTACAGATATGAATCAGATGCCATGGCGAAAGATGCCAGGACTACCGAAAAATGGTTGGTATTTATTTATTATTATTATTTTTTTTCAAATTGAACAATTATAAGAATTCATAGTTCCAGGACACAATATGCATGATTCGGAAGAGGACGAATTTGAATTTATTTAAGTAATTTCATCTAAATGCGTTATGAATATGAATGAAAACAATAAAAACACTCTGCAAACACTCTTACAATTGATTGTATTTATACATGTTGTGATTAATCACGGAGGATGGTAGTCCGAAAAGTGACGCTCCATAGACTGTGCATTTCAAATTGTCCCAATGCACGCAACGACATCGCAAGCGGAGAGGGCGTATACGCACGCTACGGCATACCGACTACCTAAAAATTAAGGACAAGCTCATGGACAAACAAATCAGAGCTCAAGTCCCACAATTATCTAAGTATGCAAATAAAGTGGCTGATCCACTCAGAAATGAGGCTGTGTGAATGAAAATGGCAATACAGGAATAAACATTCTGAAACGCATCAAGAAAAAAAAATCGCAAAAATGAATCATGAGTTCTGAATATGCAAAAGTGATATGAATTTACATGGGCAGCATAGGAGGTTCATGGTTCACTTTTGCGTATTCAGAACTCATGATTCACTTTTGCGAATTTTTTTTTCTTGATGCGCTTCAGAATGTTCAATCCTGTATTGCCATTTTCATTCTCACAGCCTCAAATTCAACTAGCCGTGCTAACT